CCCATGATGAGACTGGCAATCAACTCGATGGTGGGATTTACCACAAGCAGCTGGGTAGCTGTTTGGGTTTGTGGTCTGCTTCTCATATATGAGAAGCAGTTTTGGGAATGGTCTCTAGCTTGTGGCACGCATGAACTCCGCATGTAACTGTGTTGTTCAGCAGCCTGCCATGCTCTGATGACCTGGGGATTTACAATGGACTTGAATTAATGGCTTACTGTGTGGTTTGATAACATCGGGACTATGCCTTTTTATTTGTCAACCTTGGGCTTGGCAGCCTCGGCAGCCAACAGCTGAGTGAAGAAAAACCTCTGGCTTCAGTGGGCCAGGAGCTGCAGGCAGGGCTGAAGCCCAAAGCTGAGGGGCTTTCACCCAGCCCCTAGATGTTGGCACTTTGAACTTGGACTTAAAGCTTCCAAACTATGAGAGAATAAACTCCTGTTTGTTCAGCCATCCCATTTGTGGTATATTCTTGTCAGAGTGGCACTAGGTGACCAGAACAGTAGGAGATTACATATGCTTCTAAAGTTTTACAAAGTTACAAAGTAACCATTAAATAGGGTATGTCTAACCTCAAAATAATCATGAGACTCTCCTTGCCTGACTACAGGGAGGACATGTGTAATTCTAATGTTTGTTTTGAGTAAGCATCTGTTCTGAGGATTGTTTTGGTCTTGGCTTTCTATACAGCAAGCAAACCTATAAGCAAACAAAATTACATTGTTTTCTGAAATTGTTTACCAAGTACTTTTCTTTGGGTACAGTGGACAGTTACAGGAATGACACGCTGTATTCCTGATGCAGAGGTTTCTTTTGATCCAAAATAAACTTTTAGCCTCAGACCTTAGCATAGCCACCATCCCATGTTGGGAGTCTTAAGTTAATTTGGGGTACTTTTACTCACTATCTTTTTATCTAAGCACTTGGCTGCTAACTAAAAGGTTGGTGGTTTGAACCCTACCAACTGCTCCTTGGGAGAAAAATGTGGCAATCTGCTCCCTTAAAGATTTGTAGCCTTGCATACTCTATGGGGTTGTTCTGCTCTGTCCTCTGGGGTCCCTATGAGTCAGAATTGACTCAACAGCGGTGGGTTTTATATATCTATCTAAAGGAAGCCTAGTGATGCAGTGATTAAGTGCTTGGCTACAAACTGAAAGGTCAGTGGTTCGAACCCACTAGCCACTCCATGAGAGAAAGACGTCAGCTTCTAAAGATTATGGCCTTGGAAACCCTATGGAGTAGTTTTATTCTGCCCTTTAGGGTCATGGTGAGTTGGAATTAACTCCATGACAGTGGGCTTGGTTCTTCTGGTTTATATATCTATCTATCCCCACAACAACTTCGATGGATCTGAAGAATATTATGCTGAGTAAAGAAAACCAATCTCATACTGTATAGTTCCATTTATACCACGTTCTTGAATAATGTTATAGTCATGGAGAACAGTTTACTGGTTGCTAAGAGTTAGGGATGAGTGTGTGTCGGGGTTAGGTTATACAGGGGGATAGTAAAAGGGAGCCTTGTGGTAATTTCTGTATCTTGATTGTGGTGGTGATTACATGAATCTACATGTGTTAAATTGCATAGTAACACGCACAAAAATGAGTGCATGTAAAACTGGCAAAATCTGAATAAACTCTATGGATTTTACCAAAGTACAATTTAATATTGTACATAGTTATAAAACATGTTATCATTTGGGGAAACTGGGTAAAAGAGTACACAGTACCTCCTCCCTATAATTTATTTTGCCACCTTTTATAAATCTACAGTTATTTCTATATGATAAAAAAATGCCTTCAATTTTTTACAAACCAGTAATTTTTATTTTTTTCAGTGGGAGAATTGCTCTGGATACTTAGGCATGAATAATGCCCCAGATTTTTTCCCCATTCTTTTTGTCTTAGCAGGCTTATAATTTATTTCCATTTTTTTTTAAATTATCATTTTGATGTGGTTTGAGGAGGGGGATGGGATAAGCACATAATCAGTACATTGTGTGTCTAAAAGTGAAAGTTTAAGGGTTTTAAGCAGGGTTGTGACATTCAGATAGATCACACTGGTGCTTTGTTAAAGGATGGATATGAGGGAGGGTGAGATTGGAAGCAGAAAAATATTGCATTTCATTGACTGTAAGAGGTACATCCCCCCACACACAACATTTTAGCATCTCCCAAGTTGGGATGTATAACTATTAGTCAGATAGCAGTCATACTGTATTTGTCATTATCTGCTCATGAGCATCAAAACTGCAAACTGGTGTGTCTGAGGATTAGAAGAAACTTCTAGAGAAAGAAGAGGAACTCTTTTAAGAAATTCCGCATCACACAGGGAGATAGCTTAGGGGGCAGGAGTGCATGGAGGGATGGACACTGGGACGAGGTAACTATCAGGAGGAAGTGGGAGGGGAGATGTTGCATTGTGGTAAACTGTGGTCAATGTCATGAGACAAAGTATATGTGAACTGCTGTATGGAAAGTGAATTTGCTTTGTAAATCTCCACCCAAATCATACTTAAACAAAAAAAAAAAAGAAATGCTGCATCACCTTGATGGTATCCACAGAGGACTACATTGTGTGCAAAATCATGCACGTCCAATATTGAGTAAAAAAAATGAATCATAAGAGCCTCTGAATGTGAAGTTTTAGGAATTGTTACCATGTTATTTCATTTCTATTTTCCTTTTCATGTATGTACAGAGTGATATACGATAAAAATCTACATTTAAATAAATCTACACTTTCAACAAGTGTAAAATAAATTTCTAGATGATAAGAAAACATTGTATCACAGTTTATTTGCAATCATTTTTTATAGTGGGACATAAAATAATGATGAATTTTACAGTTGATGGTGTCCAGGCAAGAGCCAAAAGTCAAATAGGATCATGAGATGAGAGGAGGGAATTCTGGAAATACAGTAGGAAGAAGGCAAAATTGACTCAGTTTGATGACTTATTGGATGTAGGGGTAAAGATGAATGGGAAGGAAATGTAGGATGGCTTCTAGGTTTCTGGTTAGGGCACCTGAGTTGATGTGGTAGCCTACCTGAGAAGGATAGGAGGGGTAGGTTTTTTTGGGAGGTAGTTTTATTTAGGATATACTGCGTTCTGGTTACCCAGTGCCACTCTGACAAGAATATACCAGCAATGGGATGGCTTGGACAAACAGTTTATTCTCCAACACTTTGGAGGCTTTAAGTCTAAGTTCAAAGTGCCTGGCTCTAGGAGCTGAGTAAAAGCCCCTCAATATTGAGCTTCAGCTCTGCCTGCTACTCCCAGCCCACTGAAGCTGGAGACATTTTTTTTTCCACACAGATAGCTGCTGGTTGCTGAGGCTGACAAGCTCAAGGTTGACAAGTAAAAAGGCACAGTCCTGATGTTACCAAACCACAGGGCAGGCCATTAATTCAAGTCCATTGAAAGTCCTCAGGTTGGCAGAGCATGGCAGGCTGCTGAACAACACAACTACATGCAGGGTTCAAGTGTGCCATAAGTTAGAGACCATTCCCAAGGCTGCTTCTTGTATACGGGAAGCAGACCACATAACCAAAGCAGCTACTCAGGTGCTCCAATAAATTCCACCATGGAGTTAATTATCAATCTCACCATGGGAAATAACTACTTTCAGCCGCCCAGCCACTCAATCAGGCCCAGCCAAGTTGACACACAAACTTAACCACCACACTGTTTGAGGTGCTTGTCTGTATTCAAGGAAATGATCTAAAGAAGTCTTCCTGTTTAGTTTGGTGGGAACGAACCCCACGGTACTTGATACCCGGAGCCTGCGGCTCTGCCTTGGGTTCTGGATTCTCAGAGCTGTTTGTCAGAGACAGGGAGAAGAGGGGTGCAGACCAGGGCCAGGGGCCGAGGCTGTGCACCGATTATGGAACCGCCGCCCCTTCCAGGACCCGGAGGAGGAGGAGGAGGAGGAGGAGGAGGATTTGGTGGTCGACCAAATCCTAAGGATTGGCTGGAGCCACTGGTGCCGCCCGCGGGCCGGCGGAGACACAAGGAACTGCTTAGGGATACTTGGCAGGTACCAAAAAGGCCTAACTCAAACCGCCCTTCCAGGGGGCTGGCGGGTGTGTTTCCACCCCATCCTGTTGCTTAGTAGAGGGTCAGCGAAAAAGGGGAAGACTCAACATGGATTGACTTTGTGG